GAGGGGGATGAGGGGGAGTGGGTTTGGGGTGTTGTTGAGGGCGGGGGAGCGGGGGAGGCCGGCGGGCGCCGGGGGGGGGGGCGGGGGGGGGGGGTTCCTGGGAGTTATGTTCAGTTTGAGGAGGAGGGATGGGAGGGTTAGCGGTGGAGTTGGGTAGTGGGTTGGAGGCAGTAGAGTAGGAGGGTTGGTGGTGGTCAATGGGAAAGTGGAGGAGTGATGATAATTGTGCGGTGCCGCTGTGGGTTTTTGTAATTGAGAGGTAGGGTGGGAAGGATGAGGTGATGGTTTTTGGTGGTGTTTTTCCTGTATGTAGTTTTTGTAAATGAATGTATGATGATTTTTTCCGTGTTTTGTGCATCCTGAATGTTTGCATGGCCTCCTCTTCTTGAGTAATGGGCCATTCGTATTCATAGCGGATGAGGGATCAGGAAGAGACTCGCAAAAATCTGCGACTGCGGGTCTTTAGAATCTTTGTGGGGAGGAATTTGTCCTTTCTTTTGGTGAATGAGTAGTTCTCTGATTGGCTCTTCATTGTCCGGAGCGGACTGAGCCGAGCAACTTTCACGGATCGTCTTTCCGTGATATGCCTATTGTTCAGAACTGGCAAGTCTCTTGCCGTACTGGAAAAGTGCCCCCTTCTTTTTGGTCCTGGATGGGTGCATTACCCACCATCCCGTTTCAACGGCTTTGCGCTTCAGTTGGAGGCGATTATCCACGGGGATGCCACAGCCAAAACGAACGGCAAGAGATACTAACTAGGATTCAACTAAACCCAGGTGTGCCAATGTGTTGCTCTGAGCGAATTCATTTTTGAATGGTTGGGGTTGAAGCTCGTTCTGTGAACATCTGAGAAGTCTTGTGACGATCCTGCATTGCAATTCGATGGCTCTTCAAGACAAACGGAAGTGGGAAATGAGCACGTCGAAAAACGTTATGGTATGTGGACCTGCACTGCTCTTTAGACATGCCTTCATCGTTTTTTGCATGCTTTCCAGGTGTGATGAGTACAGCTGCGCTTACTGATCCAAGTTCAGAAAGTGCATGATTTGTGATCAGTGAGGTAATCAATGCAGTCATAAAGCAGACGGTCCATTTGGCATTTGGAAAAGTGCAACGCCATGACACTGTTGAGAACATTTTTTCGCTTTCCAGAGCGGATGGGCACAATTGCCTGATATGAGATGAAGAAGGCAAAATGATAACGTGAAGATCTCCAGAGACGATGGATATGTACAAATGAGTGTGAACGCATATATTTTCGATTGTGATGACCGACCCCTTCCTAATCACATACCGTCTTAAAGAAACTCTCGGCTTCCTGATCTTCGCAACCGATGCCGGGCCTGTACATTTGTTTTTTTAACATCCAAGGGCCTGTCTCTTTCTTTACTTCAAGCGCCTGAACCAACAAAAAGAATATTTGATCATCAAATCCCAAAATGATCAGAGTGGGATTTGAACCCACGCCTCCGAAGAGATCAGGGCCTTAACCTGACGCCTTAGACCAACTCGGCCATCTGACCTGATGTTCGTCGTCTAGTTTTTATATATATATTGTTTTAACATGAGCGCGGGCAGAATGCTAGGCAGGAGCGATACATAGTGAAACTACTCACGGGTAGGTTGAGTAGATGACAGAACGGTCATACGCGTTGGCGTCGACGGCATGGCGTAGCAGGGAGAAGTGCTATTGTAAGTAGTGGGTTACTAGCCGCCGTTTCGGTTGTTCAGCTGATCCCCTCGAATACCCGACATTTTCGGCGAGTTACCCCACGAATGCATCCATGTAAAGACAGCAGGGGCGGCAGCGAAGCGTGAAGGAGTCCACGAAACTTGGAATCCTTGAGCAATGGCACGAAACGCGAACTCGCCTCTCCACCCCAGACTCGCCCAACGGAGATGTATCAAAGCGTCTTCCAGTCCACGGAAGTTCGCATTCTTTTGAGATTGTCAGAGCAGGCAAATGCATTTCATTCGGACGATTTTCCGCATTGCTGGCATGCGGAACCTCCGTAATCGTGCCGCGGCCCTCTTCCGGTATGAAGGCGTCCATGAAACTGACCTTGATCATTCATGTGACACTTTCCGCTTGGCGAATGACCTGCCATAAACGCGTGGGCTGCGCCAATGACCCTCGCCGTGCTTGAACTGAGGTATCAAGACCCAAGAAACGCGTGAGCTGCGCCAGTTACCTTCTCCACCCTGGACCCTCGCGTATTCACTTCCCAAAATGACCCTCAACGGAGCTGCGCAACGAACTAGGGCTGCGACTACCTAACGTCATGAGCTTGCATACAGTCATCGGCATTGCAGATGGGTGGAAGCGTGGTTGATAGCATTCAGGGATAATTGACGTCGCGAGGAAGCCGTGGAAGTCGGCAGCAAAGCCGGCAAGTCAATCTCAAGGTAGGCGAAACCTAGGCTGGAGGCAGGCAAGTCGTCCACGATGTTGCTACGCTTTCAAGTCAACCGCATTCACATGACATGGATGGTATCCGTTGGTCGTTGCCGCTGATAATGGAACCCTGTCCTTCGCGAAAACGTGGACAGACGGTTGCCACAACTGCCGAATGTCCAAGAACCGGAAAGGCTATAAGTAAGCTCTTGTGACGAATGCCCCACTTTCCAAAACCTCAGTCCAGCACCTCATCACCCATCTATTATCAGCAAGTATCAACATCCCGGCGAATCACCACTCCAACCCAGCTGTCAATCAAGATGGGACACGGTCAAATCGTTCAGGAGGGCGGATCCGCCAACGAAGCTCTCAGTTCCGTCATTGAACAAAACCGCGAGCGCAATAGCAACGTTCCTTGGTACAAGAAGTGAGTGATCAGCGATGCGGTGTCTTTCATACAATCCTGGCTGTTCTTTGCTTATTCCCAATCGAATACTCACTAATAGCCGCGGCATCCGGAACCTGAATCTGCTCCTGCTCCTGGTTCTAATCACCTCATCGACTAACGGCTATGATGGATCTATGATGAATGGTCTTCAGGGAGTGCAGAATTGGATAGATTATGTATGTCACGCTATATGTTTTTGACAGATGGAGTATAACGCACGTGATCTGACAATGGTGAAATGCTTCAATTACAGTTCGGCAATCCGCAAGGCCAAGTTAAGGGCATTCTCAATGCCATCCAGAACATAGGCAGTCTTTTGGCCCTACCCTTCTCTCCGATCATCTCGGACAGGTATGTTGCTGAGTACATGATGAGAAAACGACCTTCACTCGCTAATCCAACTTGTTTCATTTCAGATATGGTCGCCGGTACGGTATCATCTTAGGTGCAGCCATCATGCTGGCTGCCACCGCCATCCAATCGGCATCGCAGAACATCGGCATGTTGTGAGTATATGACCGCTTTCTCGATGTGCTTGATCGTCGCGAGTGCATTAATTGTACCCTCCTTTTCCGCACCAGCATCGCCGCACGCGGCATCATCGGCTTCGGTCTCGGCTTCGCCGCTAACGCCGCACCCCTCCTCATCACCGAACTAGCCTACCCAACGCAACGCGGCCCCTACACCTCCCTCTACAACTCCACATGGTACCTCGGCTCCATCATCGCCGCCTGGACAACCTTCGGCACCTTCGCCATCCCAACCACATGGTCCTGGCGCATCCCCTCAATCCTCATGGGTCTCCCTTCCGTCCTCCAAGTCTTCCTCATCTGGATCGTGCCCGAGTCTCCTCGCTGGCTTATCGCCCACGGCCGGGAAGAAGAAGCTAGGGATATTCTGGCAAAGTACCACGCTAACGGGGACCGGAATGACGCGCTTGTTGTGTTTGAGTGTAACGAGATTAAGAACGCGTTGGAATTGAGGCGGCGGCTGCGGGGGAAGTTACTGTTAAGACGCTGTTTGCGACTCCTGGGAATCGGAGGAGGATGCTCATTATTTTGGCAATTTCGTTCTTTTCGCAGTGGAGTGGCAATGGACTTGTGTCGTATTATTTGGTGGATGTGTTGAAGAGTATTGGTATCCAAGATGATTTCCTCCATCAGCTGATCAATGGTATCCTTCAGTTGTGGAACTATTTCACTGCTATCTGTAAGTAGACGTTTGTGGAGTACATCATATGTTCCTACACTTGCATTTACTGAACCTTCCGCTCTCCCCTGCAGGTGGTGCCCTCGCAGTCGACCGTGCGGGCCGTCGAACCCTCTTCCTCACCTCCAACGTCGGCATGCTCGTTTCTTTCGTGATCTGGACCGCATGTTCTGGTGTCTACCAAGTTGCCGTCAACGAAGGCCGTACTCCACCCGCCTCCGCCGGCCACGCTGTTATCGCTATGATCTTCCTCTTCTACACCGCATACAACCTTGCATACTCCCCACTTCTGGTCGCTTACACTGTTGAGATCTTGCCGTTCCAGATCCGTGCAAAGGGACTTGCATTCATGAACTTCTTGTGAGTATAAGAACGATCCTTCTCTGTCAACGGCAGCTATACTCATACACTTTCCCTCCACTAGCGTGTCTCTCGCCCTCGTCTTCAACCAATACGTCAACCCCATCGCCCTCAGCGCAATCACCTGGAAGTACTACCTCGTCTTCTCCGTCTGGTTGGCCTTCGAGCTCATCTTCGCCTACTTCTTCATCATCGAAACCAAGGGCCACACTCTGGAAGAGATTGCGGCTTTGTTCGACGGCAAGGCTGACGAGATCCAAGTCGGCGCTGATGTGAGGGAGTTGGAGACGAACGAGGTGGTCGTCGGGAAGGCGGCGGTGTGATGCTAGAGTTAGCTTAGTATATACTTTAGTGTAGTTACTGTAGTTGCTCCAGTTGCTCCATGTTATGTAGTTAGTGTGGTCGAGCTGGACTTGACCGCTATGGAAGTACGATTTTTAATACACCCCAATATTACCAAAACTTCTTTCAACCATTTACATCCCCACGAACCTCCTTGGTGAAAGGTTTGCACCTTTCTTTATCACCGGGGAAGGCGTGCAGTTAAAAGGCAAGGGAGCTCACATTCTTTTGTAAAACACAATGTGCCTCCTATGAGAATCGAACTCATGATCTTCTGTTTACAAGACAGACGCTTTGCCACTTAGCCAAGAAGGCCGATGCGCTGGCCATCGATATGGGAGGTATACATCACAAAAACTGCATCCAACCGAAGAGGTGAGATGTCTGGTCGTGCCAAAGTATACGACTGGCAGACAGAGTGAAATGGAAGTACCGGTAATGGATCAAAGATAGGCTCAGCCTGCCAATAACCAACCATATATTCGCTGTGAGACATAGGAACCATGCCATCACGCATAATAAGAGCGGTTCAATGGTCCATTTGCTGTTAGTGCATTTTAGTGTCGGCGCGGGCACGGTAGATCAACATTCCAATCCAACGAGTACGTCTGTCATTGGTGTTAATTTTACTCACTTCAAGCTCTTTGTTCATAACCACCCAGGTACACCACATATCCCAACAATGATGATATCCGAACATATAGTGCTCAAAACCACAGCACTGCCAAACTCCAAACTCATATTGGTCGTCAGTCCCCAACGTCTTGCACTTCCCCCACTCCCTCACTCCAACCCAACATCCCTCGCACTAACACTCCACAACCTCTCCTGCGCATCCACACTCCTCCCCTGCTCCGCTCTCACAGGCGCAACCTTACAATCACTCCAGTAAGCTCCAGTAATCAACCCAGCGGCCGGCGAGAGCGCACAATGCAGCGTCGTTTGCGCGCCCTGCCATGCAGACTTCGACGTGAGATACCAAACCGGGGCGAATGGACCCAATATAATGGCTCTGACGAGTGGGGGGACGTTGCGGAAGACGTCGGTGCGGACCTGGGAGTGGGAGGGTGAGTTCGAGTAGGAGTGAAGCAGGGGAGGAGACGGGTGGGACTTACGAGGCCTGGGTGGAGGGAAGAGGTTACGACGTCGGTGTCTTTCAGGCGGCGAGCTAATGCGGAGGTAAACATGATGTTTGCGAGTTTGGTGTCGCTGTAGATTTTTATTGCGTTGTATCCGTCCTATACGGAGCATAATCCTGTTAGCGTACGTAGATAAGTTTGCACAAGGAAACGGCACATACTTTGCTTGTCAAATCATTAAAATCAATATTGCCGCGGTCATGGCCTCGGGAAGATACATTGATGATGCGGGCGTTGCCGGATGATTTGATGATGTCCAGGAGGAGGTTGGTGAGGAGGAAGTGTCCTATAGTCCGGATTAGCACAGATGATATTTGACAGACCTGGGGGAAAGACATACCAAGGTGGTTGGTAGCCATAACTAACTCAAAGCCTTCATTGGTGAGAGTGCGTTTGGGTACGCCTCCCATACCGGCATTGTTGATCTGCAATTCCTCTGATCAGGCATTGTTGTTAGACGGCGACAATGGAAAGTGCAAAACGTACCAGCCAGTGAATCTTCCGCCCGCTCTTTCTCCATCTAGCCGCAAAGGCACGAACACTCTTCATGTTGGAAACATCGAGATCCCTGTATATATTTGATAAGTGCGTTACGCTTCCTGTTTGGCAGTATCCAGCAACCTACTCAGCCCAAACTTGGGTGTTCTGTGTCAGATTGCGAATTCTGATCACGGCCGCTGTGGTCTTATCCGAGGGACGGACGGCGACGCACACCGTCGCGTTCTGCTTTGCCAGTTGAAGAGCCGTTTCTACATGAATGTCGTCAGTTGATGTGAGTGGCTGGCACGATGACGAGGAGCCCATACCATATCCAATGCCACTATTTCCGCCAGTCTGAGATTATAATGCGGATGAGAACGAAGAGCTCAAACAGGAGATGCAGCCGATGCAAGAACAGCACTCACAACTATGGCCACTTTGCCCGTAAGATCGCGTTGAAGGTCTGCTTTCTTGGCTTTCCCACCTGCAAAGTATATTCGCAGAAGATAAACCGCACTGGCGCCTAGCAATGCATACCGCAATTTGTCCCCATGCTTCGCCAGAAACGCTTGGGCTGGAGGAGGAAGCTCGGTCAGCAATGGCCTCTGAAGACGGGCGATGTTGTCGAAAACCGACATGTTATTTACAGATGAGGTTTTTATTTGTGGGGAGGGGCAGCAGACGCGTCGGCCTTTTTATGCAAAGAGAGATCAACCTCCGTCCCAAGGGGCATTACGTAAATGAAAGAAGCCCTTTGACGTTTGCTTTTCATTCCGTGGGAGACAATCGACATGTGAATTGTCTTGCAAACACCTTTCTGACTGACAAACGAAGTGCATCATTGCGCAGTCTGTGTAGTTTTCATCGTTTGGACGCGGTAATAAACCTTCATCATTTCACATTCTACGTTTTGTTGGTGAACAATCGGATCAATGGATGTCACCAGGAATAGTTGCACACATAATATGAACCCGGTACAGTTTGGATCAATTTCGGTCCCCGACGGTGGTCCCAAATAGAGAACCGACGCAAGTTGAACGATCAATTGATTCAAACGGTACCGAGAATGCGAAAAAAACAAGGAGCAAGAAACACAAACGCAAAGAAACAGTTCAATGAGAACCATACCACCCTTTAAGATGGACGGTTCTGCAACCGCAGAGCGGCAATGCGAGAAACGTAAACCAGCATAAAGAATAGTATGACCTCATAGACATGGCGGCAAAAAAAAACCAAGGAAAAGTACATAAAAGGCAACGTTTCAGACGGGACCGCCCACCCTTCCCAGCCAGTGGAAATCTAGCAATGGGATGGTCTTCAACTGGA